ACATGTTTACAGCTTGTTTTTAGATATCTATGATGATAATATAACTAGGGTGACCTCAAATAGTAATAAAAGTGGTCACCAATTCATATACCAGTGTACGCAGACACTGGGGGTGAGTTGAGTTAAATGTCTTGCCCAAGGACACAACAGTATTCATCTGTGGAAGCTGGAATCGCAGCACAGACCAATCATGTTTTTTATTATAAGAGCAGGATTCAAACTACCAACTGAGCTATTATTGCCCATATTTATGTTATCCTATTTTCTATGTAAAGCTGACTATTCTATATCATTCATGTGGCATTGGTTAATAGGTTGGGCATTTTCTGTAAATAAGTGGGACGAGGGACAAGGAGACAGGGGTCTAAATCACTGTTCAGGACAAACACAAGGAGACAGGCGAACACCCCAACTCTCTCAACCTAATACTGTTTGGAAAGTGTTGCTTTTTTGTTGCCTTCCAATCCATTTATGACCTGCTGATGGATATTACTCATGTAATTTCCTTTGGCTATGGAGTACAGTCTATGATTTTGACTCAGAGTGTACCTGACAATCACCACTGCCCCCTGCTGGCTTCACCTGTCTCTGAACAGATTGTGCACTTTAAGTCCTCCTCAGAGCATTCACCTTCCTTTTCTCACTCTGCATGAGCTTGAAAGAAGGCGACAGACTAATGAGGAAGCTAGGTTGAACTTAGTGACACCAGCTTTTTTTTTTTTTTACAGCTCAGGTGTGGTTCCTATTAAGACCAAGGGTACAAGATACAACTGCATTGTTCACTTTCCCTATCCATAAGCTGACAGGTGAACTCTAAATGACCTAAATGCTACTATCCAGTGGAGATTTCAGCATAAAAGTGCAACTGAAGCAACTTTTCTTGAACAAACTTTGAAAGCCGGGGCTAAAATTGTTTACATTCACTTGCAATGTTGAGTTACGTGACGTATGCAGGCCCACTGATAAAAAGAGTAACGGTTTGGTTTCACAACAGAATTTGACGTGAACGCCTCTGCCATTTTTAGGGAGGAGATAAGGATGTGTGTGAGGAAATATATGAGATATCAGGGAGCCGTTATGACCAAGACGGATTGGGAGACGCTTCATCTAAGAATTAAATGACACAAGGTCAGATATAACTGTCTGCAAAGTGGTTACAGAAAAGCAGATGATGGAGCCAAGGCACATAAAGTCAAAGAGTGTTGAAAGAAGATTTCTCCAGAGCATATAACATGAAAACATATTTGAAATAGTATTTTACAACAATATTGTGCTATTCTCCAATTGCACATTGTTAATGAAATATGTCCTTTAGAAATAATGAAATGGAATATTGTGATAATTTGTAGTTAACGGTTTTCCCTTAATATTTACTGACTCAGAGTTGTATTGATTCATGCTTGTTTTAGTAATCCTGTATTGTCTTGCATTCAAGGCTTGAGTGCCCAGAAAATGTCTGTTTCCCCCACCCCCTCACTTACTGCTCTACACTTTCCATTCAAATGCACATTTCAAACTCATCCAGGAGCATTGCTACATAGAAAATTAAATTAAATGACTCACAAACAATTCAGAACATGTTTGTAGATGTCAAAACTTAAATATAATTAACCTAACAATGAGATAAGTCAATTTATGAGTTATTGAGATGAGTCTTATGGCATCTTGTTTACTGCAAACTGTATTATCTTGGGCTGAATCTTGAAATTGTAAAGTGTTAAAAAGTCAGACAGTGCTCCAGAATCATAGCCCACAACTAAAAAGTACTACACAATACAATTTAACAACTGCAAACCAAAATGTAAACAAGTTTTTCCAGAGTCAGAAGTGTCCACAGAGATCCATCTGGTCCCGTGTGAATGCCTCTGGTGTCCATGGCAACCACCACTCTCAAGAACTTAAAGGGAAGTTAGTGGAAGTTGTGCTACGAGGCTTCACAAATCAGCGTAGTGCTAAACTGACGTGGATCATGTTCAGTGTATCAAGTTTTAACAGCGGCAAAGCAGGTATGAATCAACTGGTCGAGTTTAAGGCCTGGGCTCCTGCAGGTGAAAGTAGAGGCCTTCATATGAAACAGATGCAGTTCCTGAAAAAGTACCAAGCAGTAAATCTCAGCGAGAATTTGTAATGTAAAAAAGGAAAAGGGGGTTTGATTTAGATGTCAGCTCAAATGTGCAAAAGGCTGTCATTTGACCTCACAGGTATTGGTGGGGTCATTCATATTCAGTCAAGAAAAATGAAACATTCCGTTTGGACTTTCTAGTCCCCCTCCAGACCTTCCATTACATCAAAAAGGTTGTTAAAGTTTTGGCAGCAATGTGGTTACAGCATTCTCACCTCACAGCAAGAAGGTCCCTGGTTTAAATTCCAGATTGGGGATTGGATCCCAAGGTGGAGCCTTGTGGAGTTTTCCTGTTCTCACCATGCCTGGGTAGTTTTTCTCTGGGCACTGGAGAATGGTCCCATCTGTGGCTACACTGCTGTCACCCACTGCTCCTGACAGGAGACACTGAGGGAGTGGTTGAAGAAAGGGTCAAATCCAGAGGAGTTTCAATTCAGGACAGTAAATCTACAAATATAAATAAACACAAATAACACGTATACGAGAAACATTTAAGAGAACAACAGATTTTATTAATGTGTTTTTTCATTTGTGTGAAGGGTAGACAAAATGTAAATATTTGCTTCTTTGTGATTAGTTGATAGCAACCGCTGAATCACATTTATCTCACATGAGCTAAAATTCCTGCTGAGCAAAGAAGCTCCACAACAGGACTGTTTGTTCCGTTTGTAAAAAGTACTCCTGCTTCCTTGGATTTCAGAATGAAAAACTATTGATAAAAGATACAAATTTACAACCTTAGTTGTACTTGTGCCATGCTCTGTTATACTGTGAATTAGATCACTTCCTTGTTGCTAACCGCAGGGGGTGACCCTTTAAGAGGTCAGCTAAACATCTCATCTACAGAGGAGACTGGACCTCAGGAGGCAGCCATAGCCCAAAACTAAAACAAACTCTATCCTACTGTGCAGAAAAAGCATGACTGGAGTACAAAATGTTTTCAAACATTTGAAGAGGGCCGCTCAGGAGCTATGGAGCTATTGTCCCACCAGCAACACAACCTGCATGAAGATTGAACTTACTCCGAGGGCTGCCTGTCAGCCATAAGCACGCATACGAGAAAGACAGACTCAGTGGAGTGTATGCATACGTGAGAGGATCGAGGGGAATGGAAGCTGACGCACTTGTAGGCAGCCAAGCCGAGGGAAAACCAGGATAAGAGCCTCTTCAAAGAGCAGCAAAGACGATGAAGAGGCCAATGTCATTTAGCACGTACTCCCCAAAATGAGTCCATGGAGAGTGCAGCAACTGAGAAGGCTTTAAGAACTGACGGGGGGTTGAATCTATAAGCTTTAATGCACATCATATGAGAGAAGATACTCAGAAATAAGCTCTTACAGCCCCTGCCTTGTCAATACTGAGCGGTCTTTTCCACTCATCACAATCTGCAGACTTATACATTGACAACCAGTTCTGAAGGCTTTAAGCAAACTCTCACCCTTGAAATAAGCTAATTGTGTTCAGCTGACTTCCTTGGATGCAAAAAGGCTCACAAGTTAATCACCCCGGAAAACTTCTTAGTGATAGTTGTGTCTTAATTACATACCAGACTGTGTCCATCAATTTGGGATGCCAACAACTTCAGGAAGATCAGAGAAAGAGTATTTGAAAAAGAGATACTACCATGACATACTTTAAAAAGTTATAATGATAATTGTAAGAGAATGAATCCCACGGTTGTGTAGCAGGTCTTATTATGTTCAGACCCTCAAGTACGAACTATCAGCAGGGGCCCTCCAGTGTGCAGCCAAACATTAAAGACAAAACAAACCAAGCCGTGTGACAATAAAAGGGGAATGTAGACGGCCTGAGTGAGATTTGTTTTTGTGCAATGTGACCGTGGACACTTATCTCCACTTGGGCCCTCGCTCCACGCTGCGTTTGAGCAGTTTATTTAGGAAAAAGCAAGGGTGAAGAAGACTCTAACCTTTTCCACACAGCAATAACTTCCCCACCATGACATCGAAGCAACATTGGCTCAGTGTCCCCCGGCGCAGGCTGTGAAAATGTCAGACAAGTTCTTTTCATGTGGGGAAATCCTATCTGATTTACTCTCCCTGCTCTTCCTCAGCTCTGGAGCCTGTTTGTACAAGGCTATGTTTCATTTAAATATCAAAGCCTGTGATGGAGGCCAGACACTTAAAACACCCATTTTTTTAGGCTGCATTAAAGCACAGCCATGTCTGATGCCGTGAAGTATCCTTAATGAAGGGATCTGATCAACAAGACAATGGTTTCTTTCAATGATCTCACTGCTCAATGGTCATACATAAACATATTCTTTTAGGTTCTTCATGGTTGATGACAACTTGTTAGGGAAAATAATGCATTTGAAAATGAACCCAAGTAACCTTAGTCATGCCTGAAGAAGACATTCAGTCTCTAACACAAATGAAAAAAAATTATACAAATATAACAATTATATACATAATTATCATTGCTATATATCATTATATATAAATTATTACCTTGTTTTCAAACAAATTCAGGCTGATAACGGGCTACATGATTTTAATTATTGCAACTGAAACACAATTATGTTCCTATGATAACTTTGTGTTGAACAAACTTAGTTTGTGTCAGGTCGTTTTATCTGGACAACAAAGTCTGTTAACGATCTCCTATGCCTGCACAAGTTTGCCCTAAGCCTGAGAAACGTGATTTTTATTTAGTTTGTTGACAATAAATAATAAAATAATACAGACCTATGTCTGTATTATTTTCATCCAAAATATACATTATAGAAGTAGTTGTCACTTCATGAAACCTCTGTGAAAGTTAGATTTGATATACCTGCATGTGAGAAACCCCATAGCACACAGAGCCACGCCAAAGCCCCAAGACCCTGCAGTTTGCCGTTTAGTCAGTCTCGCGAGACTTACTGACAGGAAGAGAGATGCACGCGAAGGTCAAAAAATAAATATGGCTGCTCGCTGCATGTTGAGGTCTATGTGGACCTCATTTAATAGTTTAAAGCTGTGTAACAATACACCTAATCTTCAAAATGTAAATGGACCTTTAGTTTCAGTACTGGCGGTGCAGAGCAGAGGGATTCGAAAGGGTAAGTGTCTCCAAACATAACAATCTGACGCTGTCGAGGCTAGCTCTATGTAGCCCATATTGATGTAGCCTTAGAAAACCGCTAAATCACGCACTAAACGCATACAGATGTAACTATTAGCTTTTTACTTCCGAAAGCATTTTGTTGAGGTTTACCTTTGACTATGGGATTTACTTTAATTCGCGTTTTTCAGTGGTGGAGAAGCAAGAAGGCAAGACTACAACTGTAAGTAAAAATGTATCATTCACTTATTAAATGTTATGGAGTTGTGTAAAACATTTAATTTTCTGCAACAGCTTGAAGGTAAAATACTGGATACACCACCAGCTCCAGAGCCCCCAAACCCTGCAGCTAAATGTCCCATCTACAGGTGGAATCTCCAACACAAATACGATTATACAGTACGATACTTTGTTTTATAATTTGTAGATATGGTAAAAATGTTATTTACTAAACTTGAGTACAGTAATTCATATTAAATAAATACTAATTCAGTATAATGAAAATGATGGACTTCCCATATAAAGATGACTGATTTCTGTGTGACCTCTTTCTGTCAGGATGTGTTGCTGTTGAGTCAGTTTATCCGATCAGATGGAGGGATGCTGCCACGGAGGATCACTGGTCTCTGTTCTGAGGAACATCATAAGATCGCCGTGTGTGTGCAGATGGCTCACAGAGCAGGTCTGTGTGTGTGTTTACTGTCGTCCAGTGTCCCATAATGTCTTTAATATTATTATTATCATTATTTATTATATGTCTTATATTATCCTGTTAGGTCTGCTCCCGGATCACAGACCCAAACTTCCTGAGGGTCATGTCCCATCTACGAAGACCCCGAGACCCAAACTCAACAGGTATGTTATGATTATTTATACATATTTTATTCATCTTGTCACACAGTGAGAATTGTCATTGAATGCTGAGTTATATTAAACTTTTCTATCCAAATAATATTATTGGATAATGTTATTTTGAAGTAACAAAAATCAAGTAATTTAGTTCTCACAGGCAATTCCCATACAATGACTGCTGATGTATTAGTGTATACATGTATAATATTAATAAAATAAACATAGTGTTTATCTGATGGCATCAATACTTTTAACTAATGAAAACATACTTCTGAACATTTTATTTATGTGTCTTAGATACCTGACACGTTGGTCTGTCAACACAGTAAAGCCCATCTACAAAAAAGGACTGAAGTGGAATAAGAAGCCTATGCATGTAGGACACCCTTTGCTTCGGGACAATGTGCGTTATGGTGTCAAACCACTGTACATCAAACACTGAAAAAAGTACCAAGTGGATTTTGTTTTGTCCCAAATTGACCTATTTCCCCGGCAACTGGACTCACCCTCTCAAAATATACTTTTCTGGAAACCTCTCTCCATCTGTATTTATTCGACCAAGTGTTTATAAAGCTGCTTAACCTCACCCAAAGCCTTCCATTTAGTCTCTGCTGCTGGCTCTCAGAAAACCCTTGAGGTGAGGTCATCGACAAGTTAATTTGGCTCAACATCACAAGTTCAAAGTAGGTGGTATGCATTGTTTACTCATTCTCAATTTTATGTGCAGCTAATAAAATATTGACATTTGCTCTGCTTCCTAATTTGAATTGAGACTGTACTAAATGTTTGAGTCATTGTCCACATTTATTTATCTCTTAAATCAAAATACCAACATCTTAAAGAATTCTTTAAAGCATAAAAGGCAGGTCCAGGTTCCTTGTGCCATCTCCGATGTAGATGTATCCGTGCTGTGGGGTCATTGGGATGTGGTAGAAGGTCAGCCCAAGCCACATGTGACTGCGGATCACACACACTTGGTTGGCGCATTCAAACCGCAAGTGCCACGAGCCTAGAATTATGCAAATGATTGTATTAATTAAAAACATGTTCAGTATCTGTATTCCAACATCAAAATCTGATTTATCATATTTTTGGCTGAAATCCTTTTCATTCATGGCATTTGATATACAAGTAGGTGACGTAGATGATTACACCCAACAGTAATGAAATACATGCTATTGTTTTGTTTGGAAAGGGGTGTGTTAAAATCAACAACCAGGGCTTTGTTATGAGTAACAAAGAAAGAAAGAAAAGCTAAATATGGGAAAAAGAAATACTTTTCTAAGAGTCATAATAATAATACGTATGTTGTAACCATGGTTTTGGGATCTGCTTATTTAGTTTTGATATTTTTTTATTTTCTTACAAACTGAAAATAATAGCATCCAGGATTATCTTGAAAACCCTGATACAACACTGTTATAGTGTACATGGCCTTGCTTTCTTTACACAGCTGTCTGTAGCTGGCTTTACTTTTTAAGACGGGAAGTAAGGATGTTTGATGCAGTCACGTCATGCCACTCTAGGGAAATCCTTCAATAAATCATTGCTTTTGTGCTATTCACAGACAAACCTGTTGCAGTTTGGGTGTGACAAATTCATGGGCCAACAATGCACCGCTAAAATCAGTATGCTGCAGTGAGTTAGATGTAAGTGAAAACAAGTTATAGTCCCTCTATGATAAAATGCTTGAATGGATTTCTGAAATGGGGGCACCTGTCTTTAAGTAGGAGAAGAAAAATGCCATATACTCTGGACACAGAGTATAAGAGTTTAAACAGTAAGTAGGGAGCTGTACAACTGGAGACTGCTCAGAGAGGCCTTGAGACAGCTGTGTAATGTCTGCAGCGGAGAACACACGCAAACATACACAGTACACGGAACACTCCTAAATCAAAGAGTGGCGAGCTTAGTCACAGGCACTAAACATTTTTACTCCTCTAAAGCACATATCCTCTACTGCCGTTCCACTAGACCACAGACACAGAGGAATCTCCAGTAAAATGTGTTTCAATATTCACCTTTATGTAGCACACATTCACTAATGCACTACTGATAACACAATTTAAATGTCTAATCTGTTACTGGTGTACTGTTTCATAAAACTAAAGTCAATTAGAGATGTGAAGATTATTTGGATAATTCATAATCATTATTTGGAAGGGTAAGTAAAAAAAAAAAAGTAAAAATTTTACAAGCAAAAATAAGGCTTAATCTACTCCAAAAAAATAAATATTTATTTTTTTATTATTTATAATTATTTTTTTCTGGCTTTACTGCTTTATAATTCAGAAGGTGTCATCTTGATTTCTCAGGCTGGTCAACTGATTTTCCAAGCTGGTCACATATAAATGATAATGCTTTAGACAATGAGAGTGAGGACTTTCATTATAACTTGGTAATGGTTCCAATAACTAATATTTCTCAGAATAATGATAACAACCTTTGACATTGTGACAAACCTAAACTCAACAACTTTTGCATTGACTGAAAAGCATTCTTCAGTAATGTTTTGTACAACTTGCTGCTTATATACATGGAAAAAAAAATCTTCAATTCAGTCAAATTTGTCAGAAACAAGCTGGCCTGAACACAAATATGTGCAAGCCTTGGACTATTCTGGCATCATTGCGTCCAATGAATCTTCACTAAATTCCCTGCTGAATTTCTTTTCATACTGCAAATAGAAGCTCTGTCACTTTTAATCAGAAATTGATGAGAAAACTAATGAAAATTCTTCCACTATAAAAGAAACTTTTTTTGGTGGTTTGAACGGACAATAAGAGTAATAATTTATGTCAGACCAAATATTACGGGAAAAGAATCTTTGAAAAAGCATCTGCCTATTTTTATTCAGTGCCATCTCCATGATTCATTGGAATTTAATCGAGGAACATTTGGAGCACACTTTGGAAAAATGACTGTAAAATGTATTTTGACTAATAAGGTTAATGAAAACTGTGTACTAAGCTGTAGTTGCTTACCTTTGGGAATATCATCACTGATTAGATCCATGATGTCCATCACAGGGTTCAGATCAGCCATTTCTAGAATAGATCTTTTCTTCATATTCTTTTGTTTAGTGAAATGCAGGAAATTGTCCAGTTTTCCAGCTTCTGAATAAGACAGACCTGAAAAATTTACACTGAGGTTTAGTTAGCAAATTGGATTCTTATTAGGCTACATGAGGGCAAGAGTGTAGAAGTAGTAGTATATTAGTACAATTCACCTCCAAAGCTGCGGTTTACTTGCACCAGCCCATGTGGACTTTTGATAAAAGCACCTCTTGGAACCACAGACACTTCCAGATCTATTTGATAAACTGTCACGGCTAGTCTGTTTTCCTCTGTCATTTTAATCTGTGACACACACAGTATTTTATCAATAGAGTACACCATCCACTTGGAGTACATCAGTACAAAAACATCACTTACCTTTAATTCCTCTGCTTCAGCCTCTTCACCTTCCCCTTTTTTCTGAATCACAACATTCTCATAAACATATGAGGGGTCACCCATGAAGCGGCCTTTGGCAGCTTTGAACACCTCCTGGATCATGGAGTCAGTGGCTGGGGGCAGCAGGTTCCAGTCCATGCAGTTAAAGCTGAGACAAAACAACACCTTTTTAAACAAGGCTATTTAATTAGTAGAGACCATACATACTCATGACTGGATTTACCTGTACAGGTACTTCTGGTCTTGCATCTCGTCTTCTCCTCGCCCTTGAGCAATAAAGTAGTCGTTTTTTAATCCTAATATTTTACCCCAAAATAAAACTCTATTAAACTTGAAATTTTTCTTCAGAATCACCAGCGAAGTGCTCAGAACAGTCTTTTCCTCCACAGTCAAAGTGTGGCCGCTACCGGCTACGAGGTCCAAAGCGTATAATAACGAGTTTGAGTCCATTGTTCCAAACGCTAAACAGAAAACATGAACAAACTAAGCGAGTTTATGTTGATTTTAGCACGTTTCTCAAGCTAGGCTAGCTCACAGAGGCTAAAGTTGCCTGTAGCGGAGCCAGTTTCGCTACTAATGACAACAAATGGGTTGCCATGACAACAATTTGTCAACTTTTTGTCTCTTTTCATTTGCTATGTACAATTAAGTATAGCTACTACATTTAACTTAATACTGTAGGATAAATACATTACTAAATTGCATAAATGGGCTATTTCCTTTTTTGACACTTGGCGCTGACTGGCTTAACCCTCTCTCCAAGGGTGGGACTGTGGGCTGGCAGTTTTTCATCAAGTGTCATAGGCAGATTTAGCTAAGCCTTATGCACAGCTGGCAGGATGTATGCTTGGATCGAACTAATGTTAGGCAATGCATGCTTGGCAGAGGGGTGTGTAAAGCAATAGTGCCAGAAAACCAACATTTTAACTTCACTTTGCAGCATGCTTTTTCTTTTGTTCATTGAGACACGTTGGCCTTTTAGTAACAAATTACGTGTTGCTGTTGCTGCATTTTTTTAAAATTACATATTTAGACAGCAGAAATTATGTGTTGCAAAAATGAGAAAATCATCTTCTCTAATAGTTTCTTGGATTGGGTCATAGGCCTCTAGTGTTTTTATAATTGTATTAGGACTTAAAGTAATTTGACATGAGTGTTTTTCTTGTTTGGATTTCAGACAGAGTGGTGTTTAAATCCCCTGTGTACCCCATTTTAAATGGACATTAAATGAACTCTTTGCTGGTGTTTCCTGGCTCAAGTCCAGAGCCCAATGAAAACAGTGTGTAACTGAAGTTACCCACTAAACACATCTGGCTGCTCTCCAACAAATAATTTTCAACAATAAAAGAGTCAGACAGATCCTGTACTTAAGGATGCCCCTTCACTCAGTCACCTCACATGCACTGTTCTCATTATGCTATAAGTTTGTCTTTAAACATTAGCCAAGTTCAAGTTTGTTTAGGCCTATACAGGACAAAGTGCCATGCCATTGCATGTAGCAATATGAAATACGAAAAACATAATGTAATGAGTGACAATTAAGAATCAAAAGAAACAACAAAAAAAGAGAAGTTTAAGGAAGTATAAAACAAAACCCTGGTATTAAAAGTGGTATCTAGAAATGCATTTAAATTAAATAAAGCATAGGGTCTATAGTATGTAATGTATATTGGCTTGTATTTATTGCTTTTTCATATGCTTTTTCCTCCCTGTAGTGCATTCACTGGCTACCTTATAGTGGTGGCTGTGATTGCAGAAACAAAAGTCTTTTTTGGAATCATGTGATTGGTCAGCAGTGGTGAGCTCAGCAGCTTGGCTCAGAGCTCTGTTGGCCCATTGAGAAAGCCAGAGAGTGGGGTGACTTCTCTTCTCTGTACCCCTCATACAAGCAGACTAGAGACTGCCTCTTCACCAACCCACACAAATGCACTGATGTTGGCATCTACAGTTAAATTGAGGGAGAACTGAAGAAGATAGGTTATAATTTTTGACCCACCTACACTCCAGTCTTTAAAATTATGGCGTGTTTTAACTTTTTCTTTAACAAGTAATTATAATTATACCACATTACAGCTACAAAGATAAGTAGTTCTTGTGTAATTGCATGATAGTTTAACATGCAGGTTCCCAAAGTGTGGCACCAATTCATAATTGTTGTGCATCAAATGGGGGCTGCTACAAGAAGAAGTACCAGGAACTGAAAAGCTCTATCTATGGGCTTCAAGTGATGAGAAAATAGGACCTGTACCATAGCAATTAACAATTGAAATATATATTTTTAATAGAAAAAACTTCTGAAATGTTACATGTAGTAATACAAAACTGAAGCCCTGTTGAAAGTGTTATTTTTATAGACCTACAATCTGTAAAATAATAAAATGGTCTATGCTTTCTACATTTGGGAAATATGTGGAAATAATAGCTTACTTACTCATCAAGTAACTTTGTTGAATGTTTTTAGAGGCTAGACTATATGTCATTTCACAATAAGTACATATTTTGAGCACTTCTGGATTTGGATGGTACCTCATTAGAGTGTGAGAGTAGGAGAGTGTGTAGCAGAAGTAACAAGATGTACACTGCTCTTTCAACCCCATTGGCCCTCAGACAGAAGTACCTCTCTCATCAGCAGCAGTAGTGTTTGTAGACCCGTCCCACAGCTCTGGGAACCTCGGCTCCCCGGAGACCACCGTTACCACGGAGCTAATCCTGACCGACAAAACATGGGAGTGCCACAGAACACCAAGGCCCGGGGCTCTGATTGGCTGGCACTATCCAACGCTGCGTCCTGATTGGCTCCAGCAATGTTTGTATACAAATCAGGGCACCCGGGGGTCACATCCATCGATCTTGAGGGTGACATGAAGAAAACTTGACCCTAAACGACCAGACCCAGAGCTCCAAATGGGTCTAATTCTTATTTGATACACACATACGGACACACAAATAAGCTCTTACTTGGTTCTCGCAGCCTGGGAGTGTACAATTAAGTGAATGCTGAGAGAGAAGAGGAAGTGGAGTGACTGCATAATAGTGTCTGTGTTTTACAAAGGCACAGACGCAACAATACTGTGACTGGGGGCAGCAAGTTCACCAGGCTGCACATAAGGAAAAGCACAGATTAATAGTTGTATCAAAAGTTAGCAAAAACATCTCCAGTATCAATGCAATCTTAAAAGTTTGAAATCTATTCATAAATATATTTCTATTCTGGATTTAAACTAGGATAGAAAAACTCAACACTCAAGTGTTTTGACATGATTTGCGTGCACATTTGAAGAGTGTCAGAAATACTGACAAGGGCCTCAGTAAATTTAGTTTGTATTTATTTAAAATCTCCCAACATTCCCGCAAATCATACAGTTACAAAACACAGCTCCAAAAAAATACCACACATCTTCCATACACTTTAAAAAAAAGTTGTTTTGCAAGATTTGGTCATCATGTTAAAAAAAATCTGTTCAGGAAATGTGAAACTCCGTTTCCACAACTGGAAACCTTTTCCTGTTGAGAATACATTTAGGCACTGAGAGTATTTGAAGTTTTAGCTTGTGGTCAGGAGTTGGGTCAGAATATAGTGTGTCATTGGCTGAGCTATTCACATAAATCCTACTTTATTGAGCGAGAACAACCATCACATACACAACACATGCAAAGCCATTGTTAGTCATGTTTTGATATCAGATGCAAAACATTTAGACCACATGAGAATACAGTATCTGCAGCTTATTAGCGGTTTTGCATTCTAACCAGGCATTGTTTTCTCATGACATTCTGTTACATAAGTTAATTTTATCTCATTATAACTTTAACTGTTTCTCTACTCTGACCTATTGTATTTTCATATTCTTTTAAATACCTGCCATAATACTGATGTTTGCAGCTGAATCACAAAGATAGTTTTAAATTTCCTAAGCCAATTTGTACCCAGATATGATACAAAACTAAATAAATTGCAGATTTAATGCTTAGATAAGAGACATTAATCTGTTTTGGAAACATTAAAAAGTTTCCTGATCTCTTATACTCAGTAGTTTTGTATACTTATCAATTCATTAGCCATATTTAACAACTGTGGCCACTACTCCGTCTTTTAGCTGACGCAGGTGGTGTGACCAACAGGGAAGGACAGCAATACAAAAGACGCTTAGCACGAAAGGATCAGGTGAGGGGGCAGAGCTACTGGAAAAGTTACACAGTAAAGCATTCATTCCAGCCCCTGAATCACTTAAGACATACTGTAAGTAGTGATGTGTGTTTAATGCCAAGTGAAGTTTTAAAGTAGGCAAACAGTGCCCTCCAGTGGCAAAATGAGCATATGGCAATCCTTCTTGAATAAAATGTTGTGCATCGCTGAAGTAACAAAAATATCATAGTTGTTTCATCAAACAGTGTACATGACAATTGATTACAATTATACTATATTGATACTTTGCAATGACTTCACACTGGGGGTATTCTACATACATTCTGCATCTTGTTTTATAATTGTCTGAAAACTCAAGAAAACATATAAAATGGACTTAGACAACACATTTTCAAGAGTTTGTGATTGGCTAATGCTACCTAGCTTCTGACTGTACTTTTATATGTGAAACACTCGTTTAAAAGTACAAAACATCTGTAGTTTAACTACAACATGTGGCCAAACCTCCTTGTCAAAGCCTGATCTCGTCTGGGGCAGGGCTTGGTTAGTACTTAGATAAGATACTGCTAGGAGTACCAGGTACCACAGTGGGGCACCAGTGGCAAAAACTGTTGTTGTGCCCTCAGGCAAGACACTTCACCCACATTGTCTAGTATGAGGGTGGTCTGTGTATGAGTGATGGTGGTGGTCAGAGGGGTCGATGTCGCAAATTGGCAGGGTCACTTTAGTTAGTCTGCCTCAGGTCAGCTGTGGCTACAACAGTGGCTTACCATCACCAAGTGTGGAGTGCATGAATAATGCACCAAATAGTAAAGCGACCTTGAGTGTCTAGAAAAGCGCTATATAAGACTAATGCATTATTATTATTATTAACTAAGTCAGCTCTTTCTGGTCAAATTGTGTTAAAATGAAGCTCAGATTAAAATCTAACATGAGTAACAGAGCTTCAGACAGAGCAGTTAGCTTCACACCCCGAGAATGTTGATGACATCAGCTGCAAAGTATCAATCAAAATATTAAGAATTTCTAAACCTTCAGTAAGCCAGGGACAAAACCATAAAGTAGTTAATAAATAGACCTCTTAAAAGTATAAAAGTGCACTTAAAAAGGAGATTCCCTTGGCAGGTTACCACTGGCATTATACAGTAAAATTTTTTTTTCTTCTTCATTACTTTGGCATTTGCAGTGATGATTTAAGTATTACGTTTTTGTGAACAATATCAAGCAGAGTCTTAACTGGAAAAACTAGAGGCAATACCCTACTGGCAGTGTATATTTGGCAGATAAAAATATTAATATTTTTGATACAGTTCACTGACTCATGTATCTGAAGCAGTGTCCTCCACTGCACTTGTGTCACAGACAGGGCTGTCCTCTGTTGAACCATAAAAGTTTGATTTTGGGGGCTCCTCCTCTTGCTGGGGCTGAGCTGGAGATTTGGTATTGAGCACTCTGGGAAGGTAGACCTATGAAAGAGAAGGTACAACTGTCATTACTAGCTCAGACAAAATCAAAGTTTATTAGAAAAAAGTCCTGTGTTTTTTATCTTGTAGTTGAAGACAATGCTCTTGACACCATAAAGTTTAATATAATAGCTGTTATTTTAGGAAGAAAAGAGACCAAAAGATAGCATCTGTGCATTCTAAAAGGCTTTTTGTTGGATGAAAACCATCAGGCACATTGTTGGATGGGGACTATGTGGAAACAACTGAAATGCCTGATAGATGTTTGTCTATCACGGTTCAACAAATGAGTGAAGGGACTAAGTGGTTTGGACTCACGTCTTCTTCACCCATGGTACATCAGGTACAAGGTATTAAAACCATTAGAATTAAAATTACCATGGTCTTTTCTTCTGCTCCTTCCCCTGCATCTTCATCCTCCTCTGAAATCTGCATTTAAACATAGTAAAGAGTTTTTGGATACATTTTATATTTCGCCTATTAAATAAGGTTAGGTTATATTAAAACTCACCTTATAATTGTGTGGACTGAGATACTTAAAGACGCCAAAGCAGGTGTAGCTAAGGCAGATGCCGACAGTGATACACAGCACTACAAGTGTGAAAAGGGACGTGGCTGCCATAAAACCTAAATACAGAGATTAACAAAAGAAAAAAAAAGTGAGTAAGTATGCCACAGAAAGTAGAGCCACATGGTAAATTTAAAAGCATTTCTAACCAGTTCTCAGCACAGAGAAGAAGTATAGCCATATAAGGCAGATGATGGGAGCAGCCATGGCTTGATTAACAGCTCCCATGTGAACCCTCTTGTCCAGGCTGGCAGGGAGATAGGCAAAGTACAGGTTGTGTTTGTCCACTAGGTGCTTCAGTAACATGTATAGCAGACCTGGAATATACATCAAGTCAGTGTAGTAAATTACATATAAAAAAAATACATCATGGGCAAACTGTAGATAGGAAGTTTAGTTAGTCATTGTTCAAGCTATTCAGTACCATCAGGAAACACATTTTAATATAATATGTGGCATGCATATACAATTTAAGTAGAAATAAAATGGTTCTCCATTTTTATACATTCAGACCACTGCTATAACAGATGGAGAGGGTTCTTACCAAAAGGTACAATAATAGGACATACGATGCTGTAGGCCATGATTACAGTGAACACACAGAGGCTCCAGCCGTACATAGCTCCATACTCAAACTCGTAGGCTTGATTCTGCAAACAAAAAATATCATAACATAGACCTTAAAATAACAATACCATTTTAGCTTAAAATGACTATACTATTTTAAAAAGAAACAGTAGAACAAACCTGCTTCACATATTTCCTCTCAGCAGCGGAACGGGCACAGACCAGACGAATTGTGTACAGCAGTAACCCTGGTAACCGTAACAGCTCCATCCCAGAGCCCACCAGAGCTGCGGCGATGACGTAGTTAACAAAGAAAGCTCCTTGGTCGGGGAGGAATACACACCTGGTAAAAAGAAGTTTCTGTATAAAGTCCAAATTTCAAAAAGTTATGATTTTTTAAATTATAGAAACAATGGATCTGAGACAATGCATCAGACAATTCCAATTCTTTACATGTTTCGTATGTAGAATTGACAATAAACCTTTTTGAACTCTGAACTTGGACAATTACTTACTCAAATCTTAGCTTTCCATTAAGCCATCCATCTCCTAGAAAATTCTTATCAAACAGCCATCTGAAGAAAACAGCAAGACTGGACAAAAACATGAACAAAAAATACAACAAAAAAGAAAAAAATGGTAAGTACTATGAAACAAAAGATATGTTTTTGTAACATATTAACTTTGAATTTGATAACAAAAATACAAACTATATTGACCCACAGTACCTTGTTAGTCCAAGTGATGGCAGTATAAGCACCATGAAAAGCAGAAAAAAGTAGAGCTTCCTCATCATACTCAACTGCTCACTGGACCTAGAAACAAGGAGAGAGAAAGAAAATTATAAATTGTTCCTGGACAAACAAAATTACTACAAATGACTTACCTGCTCCAATGGGCCTCTCCAAGCGTGGAGTAGTAGACTACAGTGGGCAGCAGTGCAGAGAAGGACCAAAGCAGGAGAGTGGGGAAGAACTGAGTGATTATAGGACTCTGAAATGACAAGTTAGAAACACACAGGCCATAGTGTAAAAACTTTACACTGTCAATTTAAAAGATTATTAAAATGTAATGTAAGATATGGCAGAAGAAGCAAAAGCAAGATATACAATTCTTACATTGAGATCTTTTATGGGCTTAGTAACATTGAACTTGTCCATGGTGCTGATGATGATGGTGGGAGTTGTCAGGAAGGTCAGAAGGAGAAACAGTAAAATGTTGAGTGGTATGTAGCGCAGGTACCACATTACACCCCGCACAGAGAGATTTTCCCTGTCACAACACAACAACGTGACTCATGAGCAGAAAATCTCAATCATCTCAACATTCCTCTGCAAGATAGACCCAAACAAGCTGGATAGGACTCTGAAACTTTGATTGCATAATGTTTGAAACGTGTCATATCTTATGTAAATTTATACTTGTGTGTAGAAGTTTTAAAATTACTTTCTAGACTCTAAACCTCCTGTGGACAGATGTTGAAAATTTGCATATTTGGTATAATACTTAAAAAAATACGTCTGGTCTAATCCAATGCAATTGGTCCATACAAAATAAATAAATAAAGAATAAAAATTAAGAAATTTCCACAACAATTCACAAGTTAAAAGAAAAACAATAGAAGAAGAAGACGATAACCATGTGAATGTACCATATGACCATGTAACAAAAACACGCAAATGATGAAGTAAGACATTAGTAATTTTGTTATCTTACCAGTACACGTTTCTGGGATGTGGTGCAAAACTAACTGTCCACTTCTTCACTTTCAAAGGTGCACTATATTGGGAGGGCTGACGCTCTCGTCCACAACAGCAATTCTGGCGACAATCCACTGCATTAAAATCTTTTAATATGCTGAAAGAAGAAAGAAAATTTGAATTATGAGATAAAACTGTAAGCAGTGACTAGTATATTATCATTACTGACATTAAAAATTTTAAGATGTTTATACTTACAACTTGGCCATTCTTTCATTCTGCAGTGTTACAAATGCAATTCCCAAAGGATGTTCTGGAACCTTTTCTGCTTCCTGTCTGAAATCTTCAAGTAACAGCTTTTCTTTGTTGCTGTAGAACTCTATAGCATCAACCTAAATTAAAAAAAAATATACAAGGCATACATTACTGATGCAATGCAAAGTGTTAACTAATTAGTGTTAGTTAAAAAGGATATATTATGTAAAATCAACTACTATGAGCTTTTAACAATGTGTTCCCTCATCATAAGCTTACTCCAAGTTGTACTGCTACTGATTCATGCATGTTTGACTTCATGCATGTTTGACTTCATGCATGTTTGACTTCATGCATGTTTGACTAATCCTGCCCAGTATGTACTAATTATTAAAAACAGTCAAACTCATTACCTATAACATATCACATATCAATTTGCTACAATTCCACTTGTAACAGTGAAATGCCATTATGAGGAAATGGTTGACAGTTTTTCAGTTTTAAATAGGAAGTCAGTTTTATTATTAAGCATTTTTAGATCAATACTGTGTTGTGTTATGATGAAAATAATGATAAAATTCAATAATGATCTACATATGTTAAATTTTGCTATCCTAAAAAGGATAATGTGTCTTCTTTAAGCTATAATATATTCTGAAACTTCATATATATAATTTGTAAGCAAGTGTAAGCATAAAACAACATTTCTGTGTGTATCAAATTGCCCGTTAGGCAATATATTTGAACCATTGCTAGGGAGGACTAGTGCTTCAGCAGAGATCTCTTTTCAATGTGTGTGTGTGCTTAGTGTAACTGGCTTACACAGTACTGAATATCTAATAATTTTTTTTCTCACCTTTTCACATGAGGCACAACAGCAGAGGTGACCACACACTCTTGGGCTGATCATTTCACGTATGCCTGTATTCTCAAACACTTTTTCATAGTAGCGTAGGTTTTTTCCAGCACGTATTCTTGCATAATAAAAAAAGTTGCAGCACATGTTAGAGACATGTCTAGGAGACGACTCAAAGCAAACACATCCGCCCACGTTCTAAATGCTTAGCCAAGTGTACTTTGTCAACAACCATTTAAGTTACACCCAATCATTACGATAGTAACATATCGCCTCTTTACAAGGGACACCCATCAAATGCTTATGTTGTAATATATAGTGTGACTCTCCCCCAGAACAGCTGTGTAACAGAATTTTTTTACCACCAGTGTGACAGAGCTGTGAATGCATAATGTGCCAAAATGTACAGCGACAATGAATATGTAGAAAAATACTTGTAAAAAAAATAAAAATACTAATACTAATTCTAATACTTATAAAATACTTGTAGCGATCTTATAATCACAATCCATACAACATGATATTTGTGGCACACCAGTGTAAAAAGCATTACAGTAAAGAATAAAAACAGTGTTACTTATCTATCAGTTTATATTTACCAAACACTCTGTCTAGAGTACCTTTCTTTATCAAGGTGCATGAGTTTAGCCACATCAAAGCCCAGAGTCACATCACACACACGGCAGGTTGGATATGCTTCTCTGAAAGTGATCAAACAACAAGGACATTGAGCAACAAGGTTAAATTCACTATGAAAGACCCGTGCTACTGAAGGATACTTACGTAAAATGAGACATTACAGCATCTTCTGTTGCAGTTTTTGGCACTGATGTCACAAACAATGCATTTCTAGCCTGAAAAAGAAAATGCATTTTCTGTTTTAAAAGGTTTAATGTATTATGTGTATATGTGTGTGTGTTTTATAGGCTTACTATTTCTTTCCGCATGTCTTTCATTTGCGAAGTGTGGCGTCGTAGAAAAACAACTGTCAGTATCAAGTAAAATACTGCAAAGATTGTGTGCAGCCATAGCAGCTTATCCCTGTACAACAAGTTAAGTCAGCCAAAAACACTTCAATTATATAGAGTAGTAGACCAATAAGATGGCGGCTTATGTAATGTCAGAGACCTTACCCACTTTGAAGATTGCCTATTGTTGTCCTTCCAAAATTTAGTGGGTTGTTTTCTATGTACAATCAAAAATAATCATTAATGCAATTTACATTAACATTATATTAAAATGAGTTTCACTATTACCTAAAAGGTCTCCAGTCATGTTCACAGGCAAAATAATTCCAAGGGAGGCAACAGTTATGACCATAAGTAAGAAAATCAAATTGCGTTGAAAAGAGAGGTAATTTGTAGCATCTATGCCACATCTATCTTTAATTTTGTCATCCCTGTAACAAAAGTGATTAAGAAGCAAAGCATATTTAAGACACTTGGTGGAAATTTGAGATTAAGTGTAAAAGCGATAGAGATACTGACTCCATTCTAACAATGTAAGGCACCCACGAGAAAAAGCCCTAAACAACAAGAAAGAAAAAAAATAATTTAAAATACTGTATACTGATATAAATTATGATTTTTTTTTAACATACCAATTCATGGTCGTGTTCATCTGTGCTTGACAGTAGGGATGACATGCGACCATAGTTCCGGTGTCCAAAATCATTAAACCTAATAGAAAAATAAATAATGATTAATTATTGTATCATTAATAATTTTATTAATTATTATTTTTGTAATTTATCAAAACAATATAAATGTTAAAAAGGTTATAGTTGAACTGGTCAACATACCCCTCACTTTCAGCGACCAGCGCTAACCGTCCAAAGTCCCAGAATTGTTTTCTTATAATAGAGAAAATGATCAAAAGGAACTATTGGGGATAAAAATAAGTACATTTAAGTAGACAAGTTATGTAAACAAAAAATTAAGCACTTTGCAAAGACAATGCATACTGTGAAGACACAGAAGTCCAGAAGAAGCACAACTGGTATCCCTCCAAAGTTGTTCCCGTACAGGACACTGCTGTGGTTGGAGCTGAAGCATCCTGTGAAGTTTAAATGAGAGCTGCCATTGGAAACAAGCCACTGATTCCACCACTTAGACGACATGGCTATCCCACTGTGAAAATCAGAAATGAAACACAAGTTATTATCAATGTGTTTTACTGGCTTGCTATTTGATAAATTATCTTTGCTTAGTTATGCCAAAGACCCAAAAGCAACAATGTGGCAAACAGTTCTATGGCACTAATAATAGCCATGACTTTCACACAAACTTCTTCTTTAAGAAACCACACAGAAGAGGAACAAGCGTGACAATCTGATATTCTCCATGAAAACTACAAGAAGACCGCACTACAATGGGGATACTATGCTGAACATTTAAAGACAAAAAAATCCTAATGATACGTTATCACACACAAAAAACCGACGTGATCAGTACCTCTAAAGTTTATTGGTCCAAGTTTGATCGTGGTTCGTTCCAAACGCGGCTCGGGGGCCACACCTTTCCCAGACTAAACATGGTCTACCATGCTGACATGTCACGAGACTCAAAAAAGTCACATTATATTGTCAACTTTATTTTTATCACTTAGGTCTAGTTACATGGCGTTTAAAAGCATAAACACGCCCAGTTAAATATGAGGATTGGAAATAATAAACTAGCTTTTGTTGAGACTTACCTACGAAAACTAGTTTGACAGCTGCTCTCTAATATCTTCACCATGAGTCACTACTTAGATGATTTAATCTATAATGTTTAACACCGTATGTTGTTTTGGTTTCGTACTTTTAACAACAGGAAAACAAAACAGTAGCCTACTTGCTATTACACTTTTAACACTTAGGATCACTGTGCGCTAAAAGTGAAAGTAGACGCTTTGGCTTATCACAACAAAAAACATACTGAAATTATATCTTACCTGTCTGTTTGCGGGCATCCGATCGGTGAAGTCAAAGCCTATTTACAATGAAAATCGACTTGTGTTCGGAACTGAAGAAGAAACTTTGCGGCGCTCTGGTCCATGTTCCACGCATGCGCAGTTTCAAAGTCCCGTGGTCACAGTATGATTGGCTTTTGCTCTGCCTCTTGTGAATCATCCTCAAAAAAACACAAACGAGACTTCTCTTTTCCAAGTTAACTAGAATTAGGAATAAGGAAGTATTGGTTTATAATTTTAACACTTTTAAAACTACTTTGCATAACATTTTAAAAAGTTTAAGTCAATAACTGGGACACACCGGTTTGGAGTGGTTGGTAATAATAAAATTGTGAAAGGAGTACGTAATTAAGGGACGGTTTTATGCACTCGGCCCATGTGAGTCAGCATAGTCATATTTTCTTCGTGTTTTGCTCATCTTTAAGCATGCATTTCTGTATTTTACCTAAACAAGTGACAATTTATGCCTCTCTTTAGGGCTGGAAGGTATCAAATTTGTCAAAAAATAAGGACACCTGGGACATTTCTTGTATAAATCTGGGGCAAATCATTGGTTTTGGATGAATCTACTGGGGTAGGAGACAAGGCTCAAAACTGGGACTGTACTGGGTAAATAGGGACGTCTGGTCACCCTAGTTTGAAAACACAATCAAAAATAAGTTATAACAGTGCTATTGTCTAAAATAAAAAATAGCAATAATTAAAAATAGCAATAACTTATTTAAACATTTAAAGTGTTTTTTAAGATCTAAACTAAACCATTCTTTGTTCTGCAGCTTGACCATGAAACAGCCTTTCATGTATTACTTTCTTTGATGGTCATCTTTTGGAGCGATACTTTGTGGTTACTGGGCAACTCACCCTGGAGTAGGCCTACATCCGTCAGCATCAGGTAAGAGTCACACTGATAACTATTGGGGTCTTCTCGAGCCTTGATTTCTATACCCCGGACTGGTTTGTCCTTAGAGTTTGACCCAAGTGTAAAAGAAATTCCTCCAAATCTCTACAAACATTGCATCACTGTTGCAGTGAGCATCTCTGATAAAATGTGCCTTGTGCCCTGTAGGTTTTACGATAGTTCTCCAAAGTCAAAAGATTTTATTCATTATAGCAGCAGACTAACTAACAGAATGTTAGCGGTGGATTTGTTACATTTAGAAATGTCCATGTTCCTATATTCTTGTGTTCAATGAGTATTATAATTTGTAAAGAGGATTGTTTGTTAAATACTGAAATTTGTGAGATATCTTTTATCTTTTATTAAGTAGGCTCTACAGTAGCACAAACTTAGTCAGGTATCTGTGCAGAATTGGCTGTAAAGTTTACAGATCCAATCTACAAAGATAAACTACTATCTGTGTTCATCCCATCAGAGAAAAACAATGTTACAATACTCTCTGTGTGACTTCTCATACATCATGTGATCAGAGATTAGCTCTTTTCCAGTCAATAGAGTTTGCCAGCAGTTTTAAATCTGCATAACATCTGACATAGCCAAGATTATCTGTATCGTTCCGCATTTTACATATTACAGTAGTGTAGTTGTTGTGGTTTGCAGGACATTATCAACCATGTCATGGGACCTATCAGATGTGCCTGTGATCAAATTAACCAAAGTCCAGAGCAATTAATCATTTCTCTTCATTTTCCTGTGCTGGTTCTGCTTACAGGTTTGAGCCACTCTTGCTGTGTCCCCTGCTTCTGCGTGATGGATTTGTGTTTATCTGTTGTGGTTCGACTGTTCATTTTGCTTCCTGTCTTGCTGTGTCCCCTCGGTGTTGTGTACACAGTGTGTTGTGTGTGCTGACTGTTCATGCCTCACTGTGGGATGCGTTGATTAGTGCTCGCTGCGGCTCAGCTCCCAGCTGTCCTGGTGGCTGGCCGCTGATTGAAACCAATCAGGCTTGCGATGGCCCCATCGCGGTGACCCCTCACCCCTCCCACCCCCGGCCTAATCACCTGCTGATTGGCCCACACAGGCCCCCTCCCGTCGGCTCCGAAGGTTAATTTGACCGGCGGATGAAGGCTCCAGGAGGGAATAGGAACGTGCGCTGGGTGATATTGCATGGATATAGCCCACCTGTCAATCACAGCCACTTAAAAGGAAGAAGCAAGGGAAACACTGACAACTAGTGAGGACATCAGGGAGGAAGGAGAGGAGGAAATCAGGTGCTAGTCATCTGTACATGTGATTTAAACACACTTTAAGTCTAGTTCTCTTATCTATTTATGTTTTAGAGAGCTGAATTGGAGCTGTTCTCCTTAAACTATTTACAATATGTTCTGAACATACTAGTCTTTTTTTTAGTGAGGCTTGTTTAGAAGAAAGCAAATTACTGTAAGTATCAAAATGGTTATCTTATACAGAGGTTACCCTGCACAGTGCACACTCTTGTTGAACTGTAGCCTTATAGGTTGTGATAAGCTCTACCTATTATGCTATCATGTTTTGTATTGGAGAGGCTTGTCCAGGGGGTGGCGCTGCTGTACTCACTGTTGTGTTTTAGTGTGTGTAGGTAAACGTCTAGTGAAATAGTAGCTCTGAACTTTTCTAGTTCTTGAAGACAGTAGATTTTGAGTGAATACAAATACATTTATAAGAAAGTATTTTTACTTAAGAATACAACACAAATTTCCTGTCATATGTATAGGTCTATATTATTGTATAGACTAATGGAAATGCTAGAATGTCTCTAGATATTAGAATAAACTGGATCAGACACTGAAGCCAGCAGCTTTATTTGGGTGTAACACTTTTCCGCCATGTTGCTCCACAGACCTCACCTCTGCTCTGTGCCCTGTTGTTCATGTGTTTTGTGGCGGTTCCCCTCTCTCCGGGTCTCGGGTGGGCAGAATAATGTTGCCAGATTAGCATATCATTACCATATCATTTCCATGTCATTACCTCACTGCTGTGCCCGGTGCCTGTGTGTGCGGCTAAACTTTTCATCTGATCTTCCTCTGTTTCTCTTTCCCATGTTCAGACACACAAACCTCCCCCAGGACACATACAAGCACACACACAGACACAGACACACACACAACTCTGACATGTGCCCTCTCATCTTTGTATCACTGACCCATCCCAAAAGCACAAACTCTTGCCAACACATAATAAAAGTTGTGATAGTTTTAATTTGTCCACATGAGCATAAATGTACAATAATTGTAAATTCAACTTTATCTTTGACACTAATTGTTATGTGTCCACTTCAGTGTGTTGTCTTAAGCTGAGATGCAGAGAACTGTATGATTTACGGTGGAGTCCTCTGAAGGGGCTCGAGAAAATATGAACACAACCACATCTTAATTATTCCCCAAGTAAGTATATATAAATTACAACAATCTGATGTCAATTCAATGTGTTTTGATGGAATAGTGGCTGTATATTTAGTTGTAATAACAAAATGAAAATGGAGGCATGTCATGTACTTTAACATAGATGTCAAGGGATGGGCTGTGATTGGCCCTTTAGCTACGCTCAAAATGGATGATATAGCTGTTATTATTTTTGATTATTACAAATAAACTAACAGAGAGGACATTTAAAGAGCAAAATTTGTCCACACTACAACACAACCATGGAGTTCTCAAACCATAACCTTCCATGTATTATCAAAATACCAATAGCCCCAGTTTTCGTGTAGTGCTCTTGTTCATCCATGCTGGCTCTGGTTCTCTATACTCCTCTCTCAATGTCAGCCATTTTGGGTCTTGCAGCTGCCAGAACGAACCCATTTAGTAAAAGGGGAGCATGTTTGGGGTCGCGGCCTTGTTTACATGGGGAGCCGGAGCTGATGGTTTTAAAATGGCGTCCAGATGGTGACAGGGGCTTGATTGCAGCAGAGGGGGTTGTTCGTGTGTCCCGCCCACTCCGGCTGTCCGAGGCTCCTCTATTTACCTCTTCATAATTTCTGCTCCAACTCCAGACCTGGTTCTCTTTCCTGGTATAGTTTGAAATAATTTACTGCCAATTTCCCACATTGCAGAGTCAGGTAATACATGGGAGAGAATAGATGGTTAGCTATTGTCTGAGTGATGGATTGGACATGCTGCTGTCAAATTACTGTGTGTCTTGAAGTACGGCTTATATAAGAATGTGCTGTATTAAGGAGAAACAGACATGAAGACGGAAAGCTCAGTGTGTGTGATATTTCATATGGAGCTGTGTCTAAGAATCTTCAAGGCAAGAAGGAGAGACTGTAAAATATGAGGTTTTCTGATGAATACCAGAAAACAACTTTGTGCAATTAGTATAACAGAAGTACATTCTAATGGTTTGAGAATTCAATTTAACTATATTAAATCTCTCATTTTATATATTATGCATTGCCAGCACTGTCCAAATGTTTTAGTTCATTCTTTATAAATGTTTGGAGACTTAGCCTAGACTGAGACATTTATTCACGACTGTTCAGTTATTCAGTAAAAACAACTGTATCCTTCTGGTAGGTAGCGATTAACAGATACTGTTAGTAGTAGTAGTAGAAGTAAAAGTAGAAGTAAAAGTAGAAGCAGAAGTAGAAGTAATAGTAATAGTGGTGGATTCTGCATGATATTAAAGGTCCTATATTACACAAAATTGATTCTTTCAGCCATATAATAATGTCGTAACTTCATCAAAAACATACCCGGAGTGTTTTGTTTTATACACATATGTTAAAGTAATCTTTTATTATTAGTCTGTCTACATCTCCAAACCTCAAAATGCTCAGTTTCACCTTGTGATGTCAGCAAGTGGTAGTTTTCTAGTTAATAACTACTTGAAATAATCCAAATTATTCTAGTAAAGGTGTATGGAGTTTAAAAACACAGTGGAACACTTCCTGTATTACCACAAGACATCACAAAGTGCAACAGAGTGTTTTCCATTTAAGAGAAGAACTCCTAATATGCAGGATTTGTGTGTTAAACATCTCTGAATGAAACAACATTATAACACAGATTAGAAATTAGCGCACCATAGGTCCTTTAAAGGGTTTCAAGAATAGCCTGTTTGAATCTGATTAAAAAAATTAAAAAACAATCATGATTGAATACATGCAAGACAATTACTGAATGTAAGAAATAGTGGGAGACCATTGTGAAAAGAGAGAATTGTTGCATGACGGACTGTTGAGTGTCCCACCCTAGT